TATATATATAGGACCTTTAAACCTCTGTATACTCAGGACACAAAGCTCCAGAATAGCTTCACTGGCTACAACAAAAGTCATTTTGTTATGAAAACACAAAGAGGAGGTGCGAATATAAAAAAAATTACAAACGAGTGCAAAATGAATGAAAGTGCAAAAAAGCTTTTGTTATCATAATCACGCTCCTTCCAAAATCCACCCCTCCTTCACTCCCTCCAAGGACAAGTGAGCCCCAGGCCCCAGGGGGAAGGGGGGGGTTGGAGGAAGGGAGCTCGGCTGCAGCCCTCAGTTCTTCCCCTCTCCTCTGCACCGAGGGGTCCCCTCCGGGAGGCTGAGGAGTGAGGAACAGAGGAGCAGAAGCAGCCAAGTCACATCCCTCTCATGGTTCCCTCCTCTTCTCCAACGCCCTCCATTGCTTTCACATCCCCAGATTTGCCTCAGCAGGCGGCAGCTGCCCTAAGCCCTCAAACCTCCTAGACAACCTGGAGGAGTTCTTTCTTTTCTAAAAGTGCTTGCGATAGACATGGAAATCACAGGAGGAAGGCAGAAGCAGGGAGCTGTGCTCTGGCGAGGTGGGCATGGCTGTCCATCTCGCTGAGCTTCAGGCTGGCTGCTCTCACGGACATGGAGACCTTGGCCTTGCATGGTCACAATGCTGCCCAAGGAAGGAGAAGCACCTTCCCAAGAGGCTCCAACTGCTCCCGTGCACCCCGAGTCACCTGCAGACCAGCCACCCCAGAAGACACCCTGTGCCCGAGGCTGGAGCACGTGGTGGGACATCGACCACGGCTCCAGCACCACTTGCAGAAGCTGGGGCAGGAATGACTTGAAAAAGTCTTCATTGACTTAGAAATTTTGGCTGCAGTCACATCTCTCAGAAAGACCCAAGAGGAACCTCTTGGGCCAGACTCAGCCCCATTGTCCTCTCTGGCTTCTTAGTGACACAGCCCTGCACATCCCTGGTTGGGCGACAGAGGAAGTATGAAAAACTTCGGTGCTTCTGCCTTGGTCACAGCTGCCCTTGCTGCTCCTTGAGGGGAGACTCCAAACAATGCTCAGTGGAGATGGAGGACCTGCCAAGGCCTACTCCTGGCTTCCCTGCTGGGACCAGACACAACTTCTGCTCATGGAGGACACATCGCCCAAGACCCTGGGACCAGAGCCTGCTGCCTCCACAGCCACAGAGACCACCACACTGAAACAGCGACACACCCATGGCAGGGGAAACGGCAGCGTGGTATTTCCACAAACACCCATCCACACGTACACACACACAATGCTTTGGGTTTGGTTTGGTTTTAAAGGAAACAAGAAGAAGGTTCTAAGTTTTAACAGTAAATAGCCCTTGACCACCTGCAAACCTTGCAACTCTCTCACCCAGATGAATCCAGAAGCGTTGTACCCAAACGACTGGGGCAGCCCGAGAGGCTGATAACTGATGCTGACGACAGCAGGTCAGTGTCTGTGACAGAGACCCTCGTGTCTCACATCACCCTTCCCATGGGCTGCTTTTCGTGGCAGCTGCTCCCTGCACAGAGCTCAGGTCCAGCGGAGAGCCGGGCTCCAGCTGTGCAGCCAGACCCGCAGCCAAGGGGCAGCTCCTTGGCCGTCCCGTCCAGGGGGAGGTCAGGAGAGCCCAGGCATGGTGCTGCCCATGGGCACAGCCTCCTGCTGCTGCGGCTGGCACAGGCTGGAGCATGCCCCTCCATCTGTTCTGTGGTGCCCATGGCTTGATTGCACCCAAGAGCAGAGCAAGAGCTGATGGTGTTGGTTGTACCTGGTCTGGTGGGCCAGCTGTGGCTTGGCTCATGGCTCTTCCTCACCTTCAGCAGGGATCTTCTGAGCTCACCACCACCGCTGCTCTCCAGGGCAGCCCTGTGACAGAGACGAGGCTCTCCGTTTCAGATCTGACACTGGGGTAGCAACTCCTCTCCCAGCACCCGGGGACAGTATTTAGTCCCTTCCCCGACAGGAGGAATGGCTTGGCATGAGGGAATGGAGCAGATGAGAACAGGATGCTTTCACAAGGTATTTCCTTGTCAGCTCAATAATTGTGTCCTGGGCGAGGGAGCCGTTCTGTTCCACATCACCCCTGGAGAGGTCTCAGCAGTGTTCGCAGTCTCACAGCTGAAGGTCCCAGGGCTCCTCTTCCTCTCTCCCAGCACACAGTGGCCCAGAAGGAGACTCCCCATCAACTGAAGGGACCAACTTCAGGACCATTTCCTGGGGATCAAAGGTGACTTGGGGAGCGACTGTGGAACCCAGGGACATGGCTGTTCCTTCCCAGTCCCCCACTCTCCACAGCTGGCCACACTGCAGTGCTTGAAGAGATGGAATAAAAAAAGGAAAGGAGAAGGAGAGCTGCCTAAATCAAACCCAAGCACTGACAAAACAAATACACGGACTAGTTGCAAGTCCTGCGTGAAGACGAAGCAGCAAACATTTCAAGAGCAGGTCAACTGTGACCCCAAATATTCAACAACAAAGAGTCAAAATGCTACATTTCCATGGGAAGCCTAGAACAGATTGACCCGGGTGTGACAGCGGCTCCCAAGGCAGCGCTGCTCCACAACACATTGCTGGTGCACTTGCTAAGATCCCTTCATCCCTGTCTTTGGGTGCTGGGAAAGGGGGGAAAATTGTTTTGCTACTGATATGTCATTCTTGGGAATGAGAAAGGAAGTGGACGTGTCACTCAGATCCCATCACTGTAAACTATGGAGAGCCCTGGGGGCAGGTGGCTGCCCCCAGCCCCACGCGGCCACCCCGCTGTTCCAACAGCACCCACAGCAGGCTGCACGTGAGGGACCACGGCGAGAGCAGCACGGGTGCTGCCAGGGGACACAGGGACGATCAGAACCTGCCTGGGACTCTGCCAGGACCCCCAAGCATGTTGGCTTTGCAGGCTCTGGAGTCCCAGCCTACCCGGCCTCTCCTCCATTATAAGGGACAGTGTCACATGGGGACTCCCAAAGTGCCCGCACCCTTGTTGAAAAGGTGCTGTGTTCCTAAAAGGACAGGAAAAAAAAAAAACAAAAAACCCAAACAGTAAACTGCTCAGTTTCTTTTAGCTCTGCAGGTAAGGAATCCAGGGACAGCAGAAGATCCTGCTTCTCAGACAGCAAAAACTGGGGGCCTCGCGAGGGCAAAAATGGGGGAGAAGGCAGCTTGGCAGGACCGAGTCAGCCAACTCGGGAGCACCGAGCCGTGGATCTGCCTACAGAGGAAGGGATGCTTCTTGCCCTTGGCAGCTGTCTCTGCTGGAGAAAGGGCCTTGCTCCTCATACGTGGACCAAAGAGGGCCCCACTCTCCTTTGCAGAGGATTTGTTAACTGCCGCAAGGAGAACAAGTTAACCAAGCATCCCTTCTCCCAGAGACCTGCTGGCCAAGGCAGCTCGAAGTGCAAGAGGAAGCAGAGCTTGTTCTGCACCCACTCAGCCCCGGCCTCGTGAGACCCCAGGGCTGCGGCATGATGGTGAAGAAGAATAAAGCACAGATGCTGGGTGTGGGCAGAGCTGCAGGCAGGACACATCGCTCCCGGGAAGGGGCAAGAGCTGGGCCACTGGTTCCCAGTGTGGTGAAGGGACAATGCAAAGTCGTCATCTGGCCTTGAAAAGGAAAGTCAAAAGAATGCTGACAGAAAGGCAAAGTGAGCAGAAGCTCCTTGAGAGCATCCCTTGGAAATGATGTGAGCACAAGCACTCCCAGAGGAACACATTGAGGAGGGAAATAAATAAATAAATAAATGGATCTCTCAGCTGCTGAGCAAAGCCAAGACCAGCCTTTAAATGGGTGCAAGCACACAGGTGGGCAGTCAGTCCCTTCCCTTATCTGGGTGACTCGAGTAGTGGTGTCAGCCCCCAGTTCAGCTCCCCTGGCCACCAGCACACCCCCCTGAACTGGCGCAGGCACAGCAGGACAGGGGGCAGCTGCCACGCTAAGTCCCATGTCCACCCTCCGTCCCTGCAGACCCCCCCTCAGCCTGTGCCCAGTGCTGGAGGAGAAGGGCAGTGTGGAGCGGAGGGGAGAGGATGGGAGATGGGCTGGTGGGAGAGTGGAGATGCAGCATCCGAGAGGACATGAGCAGGACATGACAAGCTGCGGTCGGTCGGGGGAAATCTCTATCCTGACCAGACAGTTTGGCAGCACCGGTGCTGAGGGAGGGTCCCAGTTGGGCCAAGAAAAGTCACTTTAAGGTGTCATCAGCATTCTTGAACATGAGGATGGCATTGTAGATCTTGAGTGCCGGGCCCAGCTTGACGCTCATAATCTTGACGATATCAGCCTGCGTCAGCAAGAGGAATGCCTCGCCATCAATCATCTGGAGAGGAGAGCAGGGACAAAGGCACTCACTGAAAGCCCAGGCTGTGACTTCTTAGGGACAGCCAGCACAGACACAACCTGGAGGCGTGCACTCACCCTCAGCCAGGTGCCACAGATGATCCCAGGGAGTTGGGCAGGGGCCGCCCACAGCACTCCATGCTGCCCCAGGTAAGCCAGAGCTGGGAGCCTGCACGCCCAGGAACAGGGCACAGAGGGGGAAAGGCCCTTCCAGGAGCCGCCCCAGGAGCTCGCGCTGCAGCCGGCCTGGGCAGCGGGCAGCAACGGGCACAGCACGCAACCGGCAGGCAGCCTGCTCTGGACAGACACCCGTCCATTCCCTGCTCTGGGTCCCAGCACGTGTGGAGGCGGCTCCCAGCTCAGCTTTGCATGCCTGAGCACCCTTAAAGCACAGGGGCCATTTACTCAATGGCTGGGACACTTGCTGCACCCCGTGTGCCCAGGATCAGCCTGGGGTTACTGTGCATGCTGGAAAGCAGCCGCTCGGCCCGTCTGTCCACAGAGGGGTAAAACCGATGAACGTGTCTGGCAGACAGCAATGCCACCAAACCGCTGTGCCAGTGAGAGGATGCAGGCGGGGAAGGATGCATGGGTGAGGTTGTTAAGCTGTTAAGGCTTCAGCACCACCCTCCTCCTGCTCCCCCATCCCAGCCTCCTCAGAGAGGCCCTCCCTCACCCACGCCAGGAGAACAGGGCAGCACAGCTCCCTGGGGTCAGCATCTGCCCTCCTGCCACCATATCTGCCCAGGCAGGCAGCTGCACGCTCAAATACAGCGGGGTTCTGCCCCCAGGGCTGCAGGGTGGGATCACAGCCGGATGCTGGACCTGCTCTCA